TTTATATACATACATATATATACATTAAGGAATCTTGCATGAATTTAACTTGTAAATGGACGCAAACGTGTGAGATTTTAATTCGCGATGTGGCCTGAGTAACTTCTAATTAGGCCTCGAGGTCTAATTATTCCCGAGGGAATAATCAGAGTGAATGAGACAAAGAGAATGAACGAACACACATCGTCAGGCATTTCACCCTTACATTCAGGAATCAGGTTCAACGAGAGGAAAGGAAAAAATTGTTGATAGTTACAAACACATATTATAAAGTCATGATTGCAAATGTATTTCCTGGAAAATAACTTTAGTGAAAAATGAGAATTTGGTTGAAACAAGATTAAAACAGTGAGTCAAATTTACAGCTAAATAAGTTAATTTAATGGAGGGCCAGGTAGTGTCCTTGCGTCGGTCGAGTTATTTGATTCGGAGCTCAATTCAATCTCCCAAGGTATTAATTGAGTAAAGGAAGTTTGAGTTTCCTGATACGGTTTTTTTTATAATGAGTGAAGAATCTTTTTTCATTGGTAAATAAATGTCAGTGAGAAAGTTAAGGGTAAAGAGCGAGAAACATGCGTGACGGATGGGTGACTAAATCGTCCCAAAAATGCAATCATTCGGACTTTAGACCACCACCCTTTCATTTCGAAAATTCTCACATTCAAGTTCTTGTGCGTCTCGGTAGAAAAAGTTCGCGCCTCTGATCTCACCGCGCGCGAGCACGCCGCCAGGATTTAGGGTTCTTTATCTACTTATTATGTCAGCTCAAGCTAATTGGGCATATTTGAGTATCTCTCAAACCGGATGCTCGCACGTAACTTGTAAAAGAACTCAACAGATTTACTCCTCATTCCGTAACTCGTCAGCATATCATCAATCCTGTAATATATATTGCGCTCATAAAAACCATTACACTGCAGTAACTCTTCGTTACCTTTCATTAATAACATTTTCTTTTAAAACCATAGCACTTAAAATTTTTAATGCTGCAAAAGTCTGAGGTTATGAATCTCATGCCAAATTAATAACGCAGCGAACTTCATTCTTTCAAATGATATAAGTTTTACTATAGCAAATCGACAAAAGGGCACAAAAATTAATGTTATGATTATAGAGATTAAAAAGTTTAATTACTAATTTACAATAATCAATGAGTCTTGTCGTGGAACTTTAAAGAAATTGTGTTATTAAACTTGAGGAACATAAACGTGTGCTGAATTTAACATGTTATGTAGGATGAATCAGTACACCAGCTGAAAGTGATCACTGACTCAAGCGTTAAGAATAAGCTTAAAATGACCCGCGTAAAAAAATGTTGGCTACCCCAAGGCTCGCCTAAGGCTCAAGGCTCACTTAAAGCTCAGAACTTATTTGAAGCTAACAATGCGTCTACGACTTAAGACTGAACTAAAACATAAGACTCGCTTAAGGTTCAAGACTTGTTTAAAGCTAAAACTCGTCTAAGACTTAAAAGACTCGCTTAAGGCTTAAGGCTCACTTTAGGCTCAAGGCTAAAGCTAAAAAAGTTAAAGATAAAGTTAAAGCTAAAGTTTAAAGCTAAAAACTCCTCTAATAATTAAGACACAAGGCTCGCTTAAAGCTCAGGTCTTGTTTGAAGCTATAAAAAATCTTCTAAAACTTAAGACATAAGGCTCGCTTAAGGCTCAAAGCTCAAGACTTATTTAAACCTACAAATTTGTCTACGACATAAGATTGGCCTAAGAATTTTAATACTACCCACGTAAAAAATTGTTGGCTACTTCAATGCTCCCTCAAGACTACCTCAAGGCTCACTTAAGGCTCAAGACTTTCCTAAGGCTCAAGACTTACTTAAGGCTCAAAACTTGCTTGGAGCTAAAAACTCGTCTAAAACTTAAGACTGAACTTAGACATAAGGCTCGCTCAAAGCTCACTTATGGCCCAAGTCTTCTTTGATCTTAAAAAATAGTCTAAAACTTGGGGCTGAACTTAGACATAAGGCTCGCTTAAGACTCAAAGTTGACTTATGGCTCAAGACTTGCTTGAAGCTAAAAACTCGTCTAAAACTTAAGACTGAACTTAGACATAAGGCTTACTTAAAGCTCAAGACTTCTTTGAAGCTCAAAATTCGTCTATAACTTAGGACTGTACTTAGACATAAGGCTCACTTGAAGCTCAAGATTTGTTTGAATCTACAAACACATCCAAGACTAAACTAAAAGATGGGGCTCGCTTAAGGCTCACTTAAGGCTGAACCTTTTTTGAAGCTAAAAACATGTCTAAAATTAAACATTCGTCTATGGCTTTAGACTCGCTTAAGGCTAAAGAGCTGTTTGAACCTGAAAGCTCCTCCAAGATTTTAGATTGGTCTAAGATGTAAAACTCGCTCAAGGCTTGTTTGATGAATCAAGTCATTCATCAGTGTGCCTTGAGCCTAAAATAATAAGCATTAAATGTTTCAGGCCAATCTAATGTCACAGACGCATTTTTAGCTTCAACAAGTATTTAGCCTTAAGCGAGCCTAAGTTCAGTTGTCTAAGTTCAGTTTTATATTTAGACAACATTTTAGCTTTAAACAATTCTTGAACCTTAAGTGAGCCTTAAGCCTTAAGCCTAATGTCTAATGTACAGTCCTAAGTTTTAGACGAGTTTTGAGCTTCAAAGAAGTCTTGAGCCTTAAGTGAGTCTTAAGTGAGCCTTATGTCTAAGTTTCGTCCTTACTTTTAGACAAGGTTTTAACTTCAAAAAAGTCTTGAGCCTTATGGATGAGTACAATCCAAAGTTTTAGACAATTTTTTAGCATCAAACAAGACTTGAGCCTTAAGTGAGCTTTGAGCGAGCCTTATGTCTAAGTTCAGTCTTAACTTTTAGACGACTTTTTAGCTTAATACAAGTCTTGAGCCTTAAGTGAGCCTTGAGGTAGCCTTGAAGGAGCTTTAAGGTAGCCTTACGGTAGCTTTGAGGTAGCCAACACTTTTTTTACGCGGGTATCGTTAAGATTAAGGATTACTTTAGGCTCAAGTTATGTTTGAAGCTGAAAACTCGTCTAAAACTTAAGACTTGATTAAGGCTCAAGGCTCAAAAGTTGTTTAAAGCTAAAAAGTCGTCTAAAAATGAAAACTGAATTGAGAGATAAGGCTCGCTTAAAGCTCAAGACTTACTTAATGCTAAAAACTTGTTTGAAGCTAAAAATTCGTTTGAGACTCAATTAAGACTTAAGCCTTATGTCTTATGAGCTTTATGTCTAAGTTCAGTCTTTTGCTTTAGATGAGTTTTTAGCTTTAAACAAATCTTGAGCTTCAAGTGAGCCTTGAGCCTTAAGTGAGCCTTATGTCTGAGTTCGGTCCTAAGTTTTAGAAAAGGTTATAGCTTCAAACAAGTTTTGAGCCTTAATCGAGCCTTATGTCTAAAGTTTTAGACGAGTTTTTAGTTTCAAACAAAACTTGATACTTAAGTCAGCCTTGAGCCTAAAGCTAGCCTTATTTCTAACTTTAGTCCTAACTTTTAGACGAGTTTTGAGCTTCAATCAAGTCTTGAACCTTAAGTGAGCCTTGAGCCTCAAGCAAGCCTTATGTCTGAGTACAGTCCTAAGTTTTAGACAATTTTTTAGCATCAAACAAGACTTGAGCCTTAAGTGAGCTTTGACCGAGCCTTATGTCTAAGTTCAGTCTTTTGCTTTAGACGAGTTTTTACCTTCAAACAAGTCATGAGCTTTAATTGAGCCTTGAGCCTTAAGCAAGTCTGGAGCTAGCCTTACGGTAGCTTTGAGGTAGCCAACATTTTTTTACGCGGGAAGTTCGGTGAAAATACTTAAAGTGAGTTGGGAATAGTAAGAAAGTGTAACTGCGTAGCTTATATCACTGTTAAAACATAAAGTTTATGAAAATTCAACAATTGTGTAAAGTTTTCGACATTTTATTTTGTATATTAAGCTGTAAAGTTAATATTAAGAGGTTTATTGATTTGTGTGTACAAGGTCAGATTGTGTTTCGTAAATTTAAGGGTTGCTTCTGAAGATTCTTAAGGATTATTGTCTTGTCTGGGAAATCCTTTTATCAATGATTCGCTCAAGGCTCTCTGCCTATAATATCGCGCCAGGGCGATTGTAACAGATCCAAAGGTTGTGTACAATGCACTGTAGAAAGGCTTAAGGGATTTAGTGTGGTTTCCAGTAACGCGACGATGGATACGGTCCAACGAATTAGCTATCAGGCATGTATACATAAGCAAATTTTGTATACATTGACAGCCTATCCACACCCCAGATTCAAACGCAAAGTATATACAATGTGAGTTGTCAAAAATAGCAAAAGAAATTGGTCAACACATTAGTGTTCACCAATTTCTTTTGCTATTTTGGACAACTCACATTGTAGTATTAAAATTGTAGCATAATTAAAAGTTTATTATTTAAAATTTGAAGTGAAGTTCCGGGTGTGAAGAACATCGGAAAGGCGTCAAGATATGTCGATCCGATGCTAAGAAGAACGCTCGCGCCTCGTGTTAATTAATACCTCTATCCGTGACCTGCAATTGCTTTAAGTGTCCTTGACGCCGTACAGGTTAGCGCACGTGACCGCTCCCATGAACCCAAGTTTTTTCGTTGTATAAGTCAGGGTTATTTAATAAACTTTAAATTGAATGAAATACATACTATTCACCGTTAATGTGTACACGGAAAAAAATATAGAAACTACTATTTACAAAGTAAAACCTAACTTTCTGCTAATGTTAAAGAATTTATAAATTAACTTTAAGTTTTTAAGTATCAAGATGTTTAAGTTGCATGTTCTCAGATAAGAAGAGAAAAATGTTCTTAAGACATTCATTTAAATGAATGAATAATGCTTATTCATTTTCTAGTTTCCGAAACCACTTGACTTCACAACCATACTACACGAAGAAAACTGTACGGTTACAGTAACATGTTAAAATTGAGATAATCTTAATTCACTATTATTATTATAATTAGAAAAATAATCAAATTTTGGCTTACAGAATGATTGTATGAATCCACTTACCCATCGCATCTGAAACAAAAAAATAAAATAGTAAATTAAATCGACTGATGTAAAAATTTTCATCTCTAATTAAAAATACAAAGACCACTGAAGTTATAGTTACATTTGCCTCTTTTTCTTGATATTAGTAAATTTATGATTTACTATTTTTAATACAAATTTTGCTAAAACTGTACTACTGAGGAACAGCGGATTTTGAAACATTTTTTCTTTAGCGCACATATGTACCTATATATTTTTAAATAGACATGAAAACACTAGAGGCAGCAAGTATGTATAAGATAACTGAGAATCGTGCATGGCACTGTAAATATAATTGAATAAAAAATTTATCTCTCCCATCCATGAAAGGAAAACTGACGTTCAGCTCTCTTCATGTTGCAGAAAATGCCATAAAAGTAAATGAAAGTGGAAATTCTGCTGTCATCTGCCACTCTATACTTGTCACGAGGTTTCATATTAAGTGGAACGTCCTTAGCTTCCGTTATTATTGAGTAACGCTTGCACTTTGAATAAGACATGAAAAATCTATCATATGCCACATGAAAATTAAGTGTTATTTCTCGAAATCTAAGTCACAGTTGAATAAAGGTTACGTTGAGAATTATGATAAAAAAAAATTACACAATTATGTAATTAATTCTTTATGCTCATTTCCCAGCTACAATTATATATAGAAATCTATGGTTCTCGCATTGTAGCTACCAAAAAAATATTTAATCATTTTTTAAGGAAGTTAAGAATTTTAAAATTTACTTCACGTACTTAAACTTAAACATTAAAAATCAGGGATTTTTATTAAAAGTACTGGAAAAAATTTAATTTTTAGAATTTATAAGAAAATTCTGAATTTGGGTGTCTTTTTTGTTTGTCTCATAAACTATGAAATTGCCAAGAATTCTAATACAAAACCTTCATTTTTTTCTCTTTCTGACAATAATTTCTTTTAAAATAAATTAATTCTATAAGAATTATAATAAAATTATTACCTAGAAATTATTTAATGAACAATTTTACTTAAAAATTTCAAAATTAATTGTATTTCAAAAGAATTGCGTTTACAATCTTCATAAATAGATAAACGTCAAAGGCTTCAATGTGAAATTTTAGAAAATTTCAATTTTCAATGAATTTAAATAGAAATTTTAAGAATAACTGATTACAGAAATTTAATTATTTTCAAAAGTGATATACTTCTTCGCATTAATTCAATTATGTTCAAAAATTTTAAAAAATTCTCATCAAAATTTCAATTATTTTTATAAATAATAAAATTCTTCTCCAAAATTCAATTATTTTCAAAAAAATTAATAAAATTCTTGTCAAAATTTCAATTATTTTAAAAAATTTCCCTCATTTCAATTATTTTTAATATCTACTATTTTAATAAAATTTTTCAACAGAATACAATTATTTAAACAAAATTTTAATAAAAATTTCACATGAATTAAATTATCAATTTTTTAAAAATTTCTTCGCACCAATTCAATTATTTTTAATGTTTTAATGAAGTTTCTCGAAAGAATTCAAATATATTCAGAGAATTGAAAAAAATAGTTCAGAAAAATTCAATTATTTCGAAAAATTTAAATAAAATTCTTTTCAAAAATTCTATTATTTAAAAAAATTTTGACAAAATTCTTTACAAGATTTTGTTAATAAAATTGCAATTTTAATAAAATTTTCCTATTCAATTCAATTATTTTCAATACAATTCTTCTTAAGAATTCAATTATTTTCACAAATAATACATTTTTTATGGAAATTCAATTATTTGAAAAATATTTGAATAACATTCGACGCAAGAAATCAATTATTTTCATAAATAATAAAATTTTTCTCGAGAATTCAATAATTTAAAAAAATTATTATAAAATGCTTTATAAATTTGAAAAATTATAATAAAATTGATCATAGAATACAATTATTATTGTAAAATATAACATTCTTCCTAGGAATTACAATTATTGTCAAAAGTGTTTGTAAAAATCTTCGAAACAAATCAATTATTTTCGTAAAATATAAAATTCTTCGAAGCAATTCAATTATTTAAGAAATTTCAATAAAATTCTTCCCGAGAATTAAATTCTTTTCAAAAATAAAACTTTTCTTATGAATTCAATTATTTAAAAAAAAAATTAATGAAATTCTTCGTTAGATTTCAATTATTTTCAATTTTTTAATGAAATATCTCGATTAAATTTAATTATTTTCAAAAAGGTTTTAAAAAATTCTTAGCAATTTAATTATTTAAAAAAAATTGAATAAAATTCAATTATTTACGAAATTTTAATAAAATTCTTCCTAAGAATCCAATTCTTTTCAAAAATAAAATTTCCTACAGTAATTCAATTATTTAAAAAAAAATTCATAAAATTCTTCGTCAGATTTCAATTATATTCAATTTTTTAACGAAATTTCTTAATGAAATTTAATTATTTTCAAAAAGTTTTAGAAAATTCTGAGCAATTTAATTATTTTTTGAAGAAAAATTGAATGAAATTCAATTATTTACGAAACTTTTAATAAAATTCTTCCCAAGAATTAAATTCTTTTCAAAAATAAAATTTTTTACAGAAATTCAATTATTTAAAAAAAAATTAATAAAATACTTCGTCAGATTTCAATTATTTTCAATTTTTTAACGAAATTTCTCAATGAAATTTAATTATTTTCAAAAAGTTTTAGAAAATTCTGAGCAATTTAATTATTTAAAAAAAAATTGAATAAAATTCAATTATTTACAAAATTTTAATAAAATTCTTCCCAAGAATTAAATTCTTTTCAAAAATAAAATTTTTTACAGGAATTCAATTACTTAAAAAAAAATTAACAAAATACTTCGTCAGATTTCAATTATTTTCAATTTTTGAACAAAAAATTTTCAATTTTTTTTTAAAATTTTTTACAGGAATTCAATTATTTAAAAAAAATTAATAAAATTCTTCGTCAGATTTCAATTATTTTCAATTTTTTAATGAAATTTCTCAATGAAATATAATTATTTTCAAAAAGTTTTAGAAAATTCTGAGAAATTCAATTATTTAAAAAAGCTTAAATAAAATTTTTCACAAGAAATTAATTAATATCATAAGTAATAATACTTTTCTCCGGAATACAATTATTTTCACAAATAAAATTCTTTAAAATTTTTTTAATAAAATTCGTTGCAAGAATTAAATTATTTTTATAAATAACAAGACTTACAGCAGAATTTCAATTATTTTTTATATAATTTTAAATAAAATGATAGAAAATTGCATTTATTCTTAGAATTCTTTTGAAATTCGCCGATGAATTCAATTATTTTGAAAATTTTTTATAAATTTCTTCATAAAATTTCAATTTTAAGAAATATTCAATTACTTAATAAATTATTTATTTTTGTACTAAAATAATTGAATTCTCTAAGAATTTTCTAATAAAAATTGATTAAAAATGAACTTAACTTAAAATTTTAAATTATAATTCAATATTAAAAGCATTATAGCCTGAATTTGTAGAAATAATTAAATTTTGAAAAGGGTTTAAATTAAAATCTTTGAAAATTTGAATTTATTGTTACAATATTCTTACAATATAAAAAAATGATTTTATCACTCGGTCATCTTTAATTATTATAAAACATGAAGACATCGATTGCTCCGAGTCGAAGACTCGGAGTGATCGATTTCTTCATGTTTTATAACAATTTTTTATAAGTTGTTTAATTTCAAAAAGATTTGAATTTGAAAATCGTAATTCCTATAGAAAAATAATAATGATTAAGTATTTATTTAAAAAAGAAGTTATTGATGTTTTCGAATAATTTTACTTTTGAAGAAATTTTTAAATAAATGTAATATAACATTTTTTGGAGTATCTAATAATTTTTGGAATGAATCAGTATATTCTTCAGAGTCAGGGAAAAGGTCAAAATTCTTTCTGGAAATCAGGGAAAAGTCAGGGAAAAAGAAAATTAAATTTTTGTGGCAACCCTGTGAAGAGTTATTAACGTAAGGATAAATGAATGCGAAGAGGAAGGCATTTTCTGAGACTGTATATACAGTACATGTATTTCTTCGAATAATGTAAAATTCCATAATTACTCTTCAAAGTGGGTGGCATGATCATGATCAGGAAGACCGAGTGCTTCAAGTTCCAGTATGCGTAATTAATGCGACCTAGGTACTAGCATGTCTAGTCGGCCGCGTCGCAGTATTATTGCTTCATTACCTTGATCCATGCATAAAATATTGCTCAACCCTGTTTTTTCCCTTCCTTTTCCATTACTTGCCGTATCTTTTTCTAACTACTACTCTTACCGAACTCATCTTGCAAAGACAATTTCTTTGACAAAAAATTCAAATGAATTCTTCAATTACATTGAGAAAAAACTGCTGTTATTGAAAACAATTGAGGGGCTGGATGCTATAATGTGTTACGCGCCATTTACCTAACATGGCGCGTAACACATTACAGCAGCCAGCCCCTCAATTAAAAAAAGTTTTCTTAAAATTACTCAGTCTTTTTCAATGTAGAATATAAGATTTAGAAATTACTAAAAAAAAATTTCTTTGTTAATCAATTTTCATCTAATTAAATTTACAACTTGTTTGTGAAAATAGAGAAAATATTTTTGGTAATTGAATTGTTGATTATTTGGAATTGTCGTCAACTACATATAACTACAGGTGTTTTGAAATCGCAACACGTGCTTCCTGAAACTAGGTCAACTTTTTAGAAGGCGAACGGAACGAGAATGTAAAGTGGAGGGCGTTGATGAGCAGTTAATTGATGTTCTATGAATTTGGCAGTGCTTACTGCGAAAAGAATCGGGACCAGACTGCGGCTCGGTCGTTTCTTGCGAGTTCCACGGAGCCCGACTGCTGAGGGGAGGAGAAACCCGTCGGACGGTCGCTCGCATCGAGGAATTTTAATTATAAATTAGTTGATTAACTCAATAATGTTTTTGTCCATGGCGACAGTGTCCTCGGCGTGTCTCATACACCGAAGCATGTGAACCAACC